CCCTCCACACCAAAGCCCTCCCACTCCACAGCACCCCCCCCATGTTGTTGGCATGTGGCCTGGTATGGTTCAGGAGGGGGGGGGGGGGCGCTCGCTCACCCCCCCCTTTTCTGACCTGCCGGGCTGCATGCTCGGATAAGGGTCTGGTATGGATTTTGGGGGGGAACCCCACACCAATTTTTTTTTTAATTTTGTCGTGGGGGTTCCCCTCAAAATCCATACCAAACCCGAAGGGCTTGGTATGGATGGAGGGGGGGGGGCATGCTGTTTTTTTATTATTTTTTTTTATTGTTAGCAATTGTTTCTTTTACATTCAGCTGTCAGTGGGGAACCCCGCTGACAGCTGAAACATCAATGCATGATTTTCACTACTAAAATACTGCATGACTTGATAAAATAACTAATGCAGTATTTTAGTAGCGTTTAATGAATTCAAACTTTTTTTTAAAAAATGGTATGCGGTATCTTATTGCATACTCGGATGTGATACGATACCGCTTACAGATGTTTATGCAAATCGCACCAAAAGTAGTGCATGTACTACTTTAGAAATCGGTGTGGCTCCGACCCAGTAAGAACCGCACCGATATGACCATTCCAATTGCAGACAATAGGGTGCAAGTTGGCATACGATTTGCAAGTCACATAGCATGTAAATTGCATGCCAAATTGCACCCGATGTGGATGGGGTGTAATATGAAGGGGAAGAAATGCAAATGGCAGAAGGGTAAATATTAATTCTACCATTTTTCAAAGTGTATTTGCTGGCAAATGTTATGTCCTTTAAATTTTTTTGTACAAGCATTAGTATAAGGAACAATAATATTTACATATGAAATACAATGCTACAGAACAAAAAAAAAAGAAAAAACAAGTATTCATTACCCTCTATTATAATGCCTCTTACTGCCAATGCTTTTGCCTATTCACCGTGAAGAGAAATGTAAAAAAAAAAAAAAAGGAGAAAATGTAGAACTGTGATTTCAGACATCACTTTTAGCAAAAGGTTACTTTAGGTGTTCCACCTTACAATGAATGTGTCATTAACACAATATTACATGATACTGCAGTTTAGCAAGTGTAATACCGTCATTGTCATCAATTAATTAAAAGGGCTGGAATAATATATTTTCAATCAATCTTCAGTGATTTGACACTGTAGTTTTCATCTCACATTAAATGTGCAGAGAATTCTAAGTGTAATCAGGAATTGCTGTGATTTCAGGCCACGGACTTCAGTAAAAGGTAACTTTAGGTTTTCATCATTTAACATAGTATTAAAGTGATATTAAGGGCTTCCCAATAAAAAAAAAGAAAGATATATATATATATATATATATATATATATACATATACATATATACACACACACACACACGTTGTACTTACCTGCTCTGTGTAAGGGTTTTGCACAGAGCAGTCCCTATCCTCCTCTTCTCGGGTCCCCTGCCAGCTCTCTGCTCTCCCTCCACCCACCCTGCCGAGTGTCCCCAGAGCGGGCCACTTGCTATGTGTCCATAAGACACATAGAACAGGGCCCAACCTCACCCCACTCCCTCCTCACTGGCTGTGATCTCTAAGCCAATGAGGACGCAGAGAGCTGGGACAGCAGCCGCTCTCGTGCACATCGCTGGATCAAGATCGGGCTCGGGTAAGTATTAGGGGGGCTGCGTTGGGGTCTGCATACCTTCCGGCTTTACAACCATTTTAAACGCCAGGGTTTTTTAATATAACTAACTGATCACAAAAAAAAATTATCACTACCCAGTACACTATTTATTTATTTTTTTTTACTATTTTTTTTTACATTTTACAATTTTCAGTGCTTGTGGCTCCTGCTCTCTTAGTGAACAGCCAGTCTTCACTGGAAAAAAAGATACAGTGCACAGTGCAGTCTCCAGTCTGTCTGTTAGTTTGAAAAGAGGGGAGAAGGAGGGAGAAGCAGCCATCCTAGGTTATGGCGCTGTGTGTTTCTATTGATGCATACCGTGCAGGGAGACACACTTCTAGCCCCTGCATACAAGAGTGGCTCCATATGATGCTGCAAGAGAAAGGAGCCACCATGAAACAGGAAACCTAGAGCAGCGGTCATTTCACAAGCTTAAACTGAAACACAGCCAAGATTTAAAGATAAGTTCACCTTTAGGAGCATGTTTCACCCATATTGAAGGTGTAGCATGTAACATGCTTGCATTTACATGCCACCTGCTGCCAGGGTCCCCTTCCCTGTGCTAGAAGGTGGGAGTTCCTCCACCCACACCCAGTCACATTGTGAAAACAACATGGCTATGTGAAACTCAATCTGCACAGCTGCATCATTCATTCACAACAATATGTGAATGATAAAACTATATACTCCCGTCTGCCACCACGGCAGATGGTTTGTAGTTTTCAATTAACTGCAAAGCCACCGATGAGTGCCTTCATAGTTCATTCACAAGCTCTGCAGCTTTTAAACTGACAACTGTAAGGCTTGTCTGCAGGAGGCTGACATTGCACCAGCGATCCACTTATTGCGGGTTCAATGCTGTACAGGCTCAGGTGTAAAAAAAAATTAAATGCACATTTTTTTCCTGCAAAAATATATGCATTCATAATTTTTTTCACAAAGGTGAACTCAGCCTTTATCCACTTACCTCCCATGCCTATTCTGACACTTCTCTCCTACATGTAAAAATCCTCAATTTTTTGCTTATCCTAGGAAGAACAGAAATCTCTCCATGTCTTCCACAGGAAGATATGGAGAAATTTCTGTTCAAGAAACTGCTCGCTGAGCTTTCTTCCTAGGATAAGTCTTTTTGGCTAATCTAAGTATTTCATCAGAGTGATCAGCGATTGCTGCTACCAATAGGTTTCTGGACAAGTTTGTTTGGCTAAAGATTCTAAGCATTTCATCTGAGTGATCAGCGATTACTGCTACTATACCAGTAGCTTTCTGGTGAGCGCATAGTGGTGGAATGTTTCACTGGATCCTATAGCACCTGTTTGGAATTGAACACGTTGCTGCTGTGTCTTGTAGTGCCACTGACACATTATTTGTTCACCTAGTGGACTGTTCGCTTTGTCACATTGACATATACTTGATGGATTTCATTTGTTCATTGCTTCAATGAGTTATATTATTATTATACATTATTCATTTTGCACCTATGTCTCATTGAGAGATATTTTATTTAATTTGCACTGGTGTTTTATTTGAGTTTGACGATCTAATATTTATATCATATGAAAAAAATGTTTTAACGCTGCATTATATACATATATGCTATTGTGAGGATTTGCTGTCACTAGTTCTTGTGCTACCTGCTTTGAAGTTTCCTAATAAGCGCTCGCCATATGCCTGTATTTATAGGTATTTACAAAATGTTGAAAGTGATTGTAAACCCTCACCTTGTAGAACAGCCCATTCAGTTTAAAATAGAAACTAGAAATGCAGTAAGAGAACTGAGTTTGCTTGCAATAAGAATATCTTACTTTGGAAATCAATGGATGTATGACAGAAGGGTCTGATACACATACAAAAATATCTAGAGATAATTGATTATTTACTTTACTTGGTAAAACATATTTTTTCCCCTTTCTTTGTATTAAACGTTTGTGGCCAATGTGTGGGTAAGTGCCCACTAAGTCCAATTTAAAAAGAACACAAAATGCAGTATGTGCACAGGTCCTTCAAAATAGAGCTTAGAACATACAGTGAAGAATAAGAATGAGTGCAAAAGAGTTTAATACACACATAGAAATTTAGACATTTACACAGTACCTCTACTAAGAAACAAACCACTCAAAGGATTATAATCAATTTAGTTGTATAAACAGCAAAACAAGAGAGTTTACAATGTCAACCTGAAAATAAAAATGTCTGTTGTTAGCAATCACATTACAAACTATAAATAACTTTTAACATGTCAACTAATACGCTTAGAAAGATACAGTGCTCAGCATACATGAGTGCACCCCAACAGATTTGTCAGAAAACCTTTACTTTCCTTTCAGAATCAACATTTTCTACAGGACACTATACTACAAAATACTCACACAAATGCGGGCCATTGATTGCAAACAAGATTTGTTAATTTGCACACACAAAAAAGTATTTTTCTTAAGAAATTAATTTAAGACTACGCAAAAATGAATACACCCCAATGAAAGTTTTGAGAGCAAAGCTACATTTTAGACAACAAAATCCTAATTAACAAGAATCCAACTACAGGTAAGTCCAATTATTCATTAAACAGGTGTCCAGCAGACAGTTGATTATAAAAGGGCGTTACTTAACAAAGAAAACCCCTTCCCATTTCATGCTGTCAGCAATGGCACCACATGGAAGAGAAACGTCACAAGGCCTGGGAAAGAAAATAATTTCTTTACACAAGAAAGGTGAAGGCTACAAGAAGATCAGCAAAGCTTTACTTATCAGTCAGAATACAGTAGCAAACGTGATACAAAAAGTTAACAAAGATGGAACTGCAACCATCTCACAGAGACGTCCAGACCATCCACGGAAGTTAACACCTCAACAGGAGTGTCTTCTGTTGTGAAGGGTTGAAGAAAATCACCATGCAAGTTCACTTCAGTTATCTATAGAAGTAGAAAGCCAAACTGGGATGATTGTTTCCCATGACACTGTATGGTGTACACTGCAGAAGAATGGCATGCATCGGTGTCAGCCACGAAGGAAGTCTCTACTAAAGCTCATGCAAAAAAAATCGAAACCTAAAATTTGCCATGGCCAATGCTGAAAAAGAAGAACACTACTGTGACTCTGTATTCTGGAGTGATGAGACCAACTAAGATGTTTTGGGAACTAATGGCTTCACAACTGTGTGGTGTTGCAAAGGTGAGGAGTGCAATGAAAAGTGCACGGTACCTACAGTGAAACATGGTGGTGGCAGTATCCTTCTGTGGGGCTGTATGAGTACTGCTGGTGTTGGGGAGCTGCATTTCATTGATGGTATCATGAATTCACAGATGTACTACTCTATATTGAAAGAGAAGATGCTACCATCACTCCGTGCCTTTGGTCATCATGCACTTTCCGACATGACAATGATCCAAAACACACATCTAAGGCCTCTGTTGCATTTTTGAAGAACAGGGTGAAAGTGATTCAGTGGCTAAGTATGTCTCCTTATCTGAACACAATGAAACACCTATGGGGAATTCTGAAGAGACAAGTTGAGCATCGCTCTCCATCCAGCATCCAGGCTCTAAAAGAGGTAATTCTTGAAGAATGGAAGAAGATAGATGTTGCAATATGTCACCAACTTGTTTTCATCCATGCCTAGAAGACTTGGTGCTGTCAGGGATGTGGGTGTGACCAGAAATGTGTGGACTGACACAGGGAAACGCAGGCTTCAGATATAGTAAATAATATAATTTATTAAGACTAACAATACAAACGCAGTGCAAAACTAAACATAACACAGTGCAAACAACCTGAACCAAACCTCCAACAGATAACAAACATACGATACAAGAGTAGTCAGGCAGGCCGGGTCGGTAGCAAACTGGCAAACGGAGTACCAGGAGCAGGCGGGAGAGTGGTCAGGACTAGCCGAGGTCAGTACAGGCAGAGTTCAGGCAGCATCAGGACAGCAGAAACAGGATCAGGAAACCAGGGCCAAGCAAACAGTACAACAAGGCACAGACTGCAGGTCTGGCCATCCCTTAAATACACCACCTGCAATCAGCCCCAGGTGATGGCTAATTGCCGAAGTGAGCCTCTAATTGTTGAGAGCACCCGCTGGCCAGCCCTGGTACTGCAGCCCTCAAGGCAGGTGAGTCCCACCACTATTGGCAAGTCCATTCCTGACAGGTGCTCTCCTTACAAATCATAGAGGTTATAGAGAATACTAGATGGAGCAGTTTTTGTTGTGGGGTGCATTCATTTTTGCGTCAACTAATTTGAGTAAAACTGAATTTTTTGTAATTTACGTTATAATATTAACCTTACTTCCATGTAATGAGCTAAACAAATGTTCTATAACACTCAGTTTTGTCAAAATTTTGGAAATTGTTCTTGTGTTCATTGAGATATTGATTAAAATCTTACTTTTCAAAAGGGGTGTACTTATTTATGCTGAGTACTGTATCTAGATCAGGGGACTCCAAACTTTCAAAATAAAGGGCCAGATTCTTCAGACTTTAGGGGGACCGGACTGTGTCCATTGGGAGTAGAAAAGCAATTGTGCCCTATCATTGGTGTTAGTGGGAGGAATTATGCCCCATCATTGGTGTCAGTGGGGAGAATTGTGCCCCTTCATTGGTGTCAGTGGGAGAAATTGTGCTCCATCGTTGGTGTCATTTGGCCTCATTTTTTGTGTCATTGGGACAAATTGTATCCCATCGTATGTGTCTTTTGGAGGAACTGTGTCCCTTCATTGTTGTCATTTGGCTCCATTGCTGGTGTCATTGGGAGAAATTGTGTCCCATTGTTTGTGTCACTGGGAGGAATTGGGCCCCTTCATTGCTGTTACTGTGTGTGTGTGTGTGTCGGGGTTATGCCCCATTGTTGGTATCAGTGAATGAAATAGTGTACCAAGGGCTAGATAAAAGCAAGCAAAGGGCCACATCCGGTCACAGTTTGGAGACCACAGATCTAGGTGATTCAGATTTAAAAAGCTTACAAATGATACAAATATTATACTGTTAACATGATTACATGTTACATGATGGCAAGCAATTCAAAATAAAAATGCCTCCCTATTGAATTTTATTTGGAAAGTATGAGTACAACTATAAATAATTAGAAATTGCTAACAGGCCAAACATCTGATGAATTTTTGAATATAAGGTAAATGCCTAACCTTTTTTAACTGGCTTCCCTGGAGATAGGGGATTAAAGTAATGTAGGCTGCAGGTAGAGAGATGACAGCACTGTATTTCTTAACTGTAGTATAGATAATTTTGTTAACGATCTGACTCTGCTGTCTGGTATACCTGTATGAATCACAAAAGAATCTAAACAGAATTATAATTTCATTATCAGGTAAGACAGTCAATATACAGTATGTGTATTTACACTGTGAAATTGGCTGTTAGATGACTCTCTAGGGAGAAAGAAATCCTCCTGCACTATTTGCTGCTGTCTTATACTCATGTGTGTTGGCCCTTGCCATCTTCCCATACAATGTAGAACAATGCTGCTCCTGCATTGTACGCGATGACTTCAGAGAATTTCAACCAGCTGGGTAGCAAAGTAAAGCAACTTCTCTGGACCAGTAACATGGAGAGAAGAAAGCCTGCTCGGATGCAAGGAACAAGATAAGTATTTGTGCCTAAAGGCTATCAATTTTTTGTATTATTGTAAGACCTGATATTTGTCCAAGAAAGGAAAAACAGGTAGCCAAAACAAGTAAGGTTTAAAAGGTCATTGCTAAAGAGTCAACAAAAAGAATACAAAATGTGAGGTAGGGGGCAATAGCCAAAAGCCTTTTGTCCAATATGTAGTACATGTTAGAGGGATTCTTTAAGGAACACTAATTATATAACCCCCCCCAGCCCTCCTCCCTAGTCCCCTGAGCTACCCTAAGCAGAGGTGTTTATTTACCTATTCAGGTGGCAGTGGTCTCCCACGTTCCCTACATCCTGACCAGTAAAAACCTGTGAAACAACTAGCAGGAATGTAGACAAAGTGAGAGGCAATGTTTTACATGGGGTCCAACCAACTAGATTAAGTAAGTGAAAATTTGGAAACCTAGCAAAGGGGAACAATGTAAATTTTCTATGAATATGCAAACTAAAGAATTTGTTAATCATAGTTACACAGGTATGGCATTTATTTTATATCAATATTTTATAAATAAGAGATGCCTTGTTTGGTGGCTTCAGGAACATTGCAGTTCAAAATCTGAATTCATAGCATTAAAGAGATGCGCTAAACATGGACTAATATTATCTAATAATGTTCTATAACACTGAGCTGAGAATCTGTCTAAGCCAGGGTATGTAGATATATTTTAGAGACTTTATTGCTTAGGTCACCTCGAATAGTATAAAATCTGCCTTCACAGAAAAAGCTAATGATTCAGGAAGGTTAGAAAAAGCAAGACTGCTGCTTCTTCACATCATCATCTGTCAAAATGATTTGACAGTAGTGATAATTTTAATGGGGTCTGCAGTAATCCCACCATTACAAAGACAAATCTTTTATGGAGATGACCAGAGAGGAATACTATGACTTTCCTGCCAACATTGTATGAGTTTTATTGCTTTTAGTGTAGAAACAATGGCTTCTCCAGCATATTCATTGTTCCATTCTATAGTTTAGTACAAGATTAATTTCTGTTCTAAAGGAATCCACCATCCTTTTAGATACATAAAATAGAAATGAGCTTTCCCAGTGGCATAGCTTGACATACCTTGGCCCCAGTGCAAAATATAAGCTTGGCACAGATTTAATTCCATATCCACTTCTCCAGTCTCACCATCCCAAATCTCTGCAACTCCCTATGCAATTAACATGCCCACCCCATTATCTGCTGTACCTAAATCACCCAAATCCTCATACCTACCTTTTAGTATGTCCCCTCTTCTACAGGGAGAACTAGGAAATGGAGTGGATTGTGGCTGGAACAAAGAGTATGGCACTGGTAATAAAAGCTTGACACATATTTGCTTTGTCTAATAAGGAGCCAATGCTTATTTTTGAGTTTTCAATCATTTCAGTTTTAAGGCAATTACCTTAAAGCTGAACTCCAGCTTTACATTGTCTTGAGCCGTTGTACAGGCTCACCTCCTGTACTCAAATTGCTTACTTTGATTTCAGTGAACACTGTAAGCTTCTCCTACTGATGCACTCCTCGGTCCACAGACACAATGACACACACCCAGCACGGTGATCATCTTCCCCCCAGTAAAAACCTCTTTCCTCATGCACATTCTCTCTCCTTCCAACTTCACATAGCACAGATTTTTGGAGGCACTGGGAGAGTGAGTGGAGAAGGAGCACTAGAACTACTGTATAGTAAGCATTTGAGTTAGGCTATGTTCACACTAGCTTTGTCAGCAGGCGTCAGACAGGCGTTTGAGAAGCGTTTTTAATGCTTCTCAAACGCCTATGAAAATTCTGCACATGGCAGCACACAGTGCTGTTCACACTGAAGCGATAGCGTTGCGTCGCGGCAAAACTGATGCCTCATGTCAAGTCAGGAAGAGTTGAAGCCTCCCATTCAAGTCTATGGTGATGCTCCTCAAACTGGCAGGCGGTTGCGAGGTGTTTGAGGAGCGTTAATGCCATTTAACTTCATTATAGGCATTTGTGGTGCGGTTTTAACGCCTATCAAATGCCTCAAAAACATGCATATGGCGTTTGGGGGTGTTTGAGGAGCATTTGAGGAGCGTTAAAAACGTTTCCCAAACGCCTGTCTAACGCCTGTCAAATGCTATAGGGGCGTTTGGCAAGAGTTAAAAATAAGTCAAGTGTGAATGAGCCCTAATTGAAAGTGTTATTTAACCCACAAATATAAAAAGCAGTTAGTGCTGGAGACCTCAGCACTTACCATCTTTGCTGTGTGTGTTTTTTTTAAGCATCTTTTCTAGGTCCTATTTTCGGGTGGCTCATATGATTTCATAACGCCACCTTTAAATGCACGTTCCTGGCTAGCACCTACATGCATTTGCAGAAACAGACAGTGGAAAAGCCAGCCCATCCCCTGCTCGCCTCTCCTCTCTGCACCCCTTCTGTTTCTTCTGAACAGTGCATGTGAGATACTGGGGACACATGGTCCTCTACCCAGAAGTTCAGGGAGGCAACTGTGCTACTGGAGTTGGTGGAAATGCAACAATCCAAGCCACTTATATACAGGGGAATGCTAAACAGGTTTATTTTTTAATTAAAAACAGGAGCATTTACTTTCATATATTTGAAAAAACTAAATAAAAAATAATTATATATATATATATATATGTATATATATATGTACTCCAGCACAGGGGTGGACTGACAACTCATGGGGCCCCCGGGCAATACGGGATCATGGGGCCCCTGTGTCCTTGCCCAAACTCAAGAAAGTCTATGAAAAAGGTACCAGGGGCATCTCATGGGGCCCCTACTGACCCCGGGCCCTCGGGCAGTGCCCGAGTTTCCAAATGGTCAGTCCGCCCCTGCTCCAGCACAAAAATGTTCTATTTGATAGACGTGTAATGATGATAATGATAATGATAATGATGATAGTGAACCAAACTAGGCCAAACTGTAAAGCCACTTGCAGTATATATAAAACTCATTACCTAAATTCACACACTCTATAATCTGCAACATATTAACTTAATTCAAAAGTGCCTTTCAATATTAGTAAATATTAGGCTTTAATAAAAATAATACATTGTCATTATGTCATGAAAGTTCACTTCCTGATATAGGCATGTGCCAATGCAATAATTTAAAAAAAAAATTAAAAAAGCTTCTATTACCTATGTAGAATTGTCAGTAATTTCTATTGACAATATGACTGTTGAGCGCCCGCTCTTTTATAGAAATGTATTCATTTCTTCCAAATTTTGTCTCTTATTACTCTGCTGACCAAGGGCAAAGTCTAATCACTGCATTATAGGTTTTTCTTTATGTTTGTTGCGAACCTGCAAATATTTCAAAGAAAAGTTTATGGATTGTGCACTTCACAATTGCCACAAACCCATGGTTTAGGTGAACTCAAACCTCATCCCTACTGTCTAAATACACTGCTCCAAAAATTTAAAGGAACACTTTTTAATCAGAGTATAGCATCAAATCAATTAATTGCTTGGGATATTGATCTGGTCAGTTAAGTAGCAGAGGGGGTTGTTAATCAGTCTCAGCTGCTTTGGTGTTAATGAAATTAACAGGTGCACTAGATGGGCAACAATGAGATGACCCCCGAAACAGAAATGGTTTTACATGTGGAGGCCACTGAC